TCGGTAAACATCGACCAGACTACACAGCGCAACAACCCAAAAGACAGAAATCTTCATACTCATCGCCCTGATGATGGAGGCAGTATGACCTCCGAAACGTTGGTAAACATCGACCAGACTACACAGCGCAACAACCCAGAAGACAGAAATCTTCAACAGAACGTTAGCTAATGTTACTACAATCATAATATCATTTATGGATCTTAAGGGAGTATCTTTGGGCAGGGGGTGGCTGAAGGGTCTTCTGTACACAGCAATGAACCCGCGTGTTCCATTAAGAAAGACGAATTTCTTTATTAATTCAGCGACTATCAACTTCTCCAGGACTCTGCTCCATGTAGTTAGTTCAATTAGTTATCAATACAAATACTGTACTGTGTAGGTATTTTATAATCTTGTGTAATTAGCAGTGTTTAGCATACTAGCAAGCAGTTTAACTTTAACACAGAAAAATATGTTAAGTTTGTCAAAACTGTAAGTAACTAAGGTCTCTTCAGTTTTAAAAACTTGCATGTAATATTCATAGTTAATATTATTGAAATCAATGTATATCATTGATATTTAGAACATAGCTTGTATACAGTATAACAGCGTATGTACGTAATTTTAAACCAAATGGAAATGAATTGGTAGAAGCGAACACAAAAGAATGCACAACGATACAAATCTGTCAACAGAAGCCTGACTTAAGTATAATAAAACCTGCTGGTATTTGAATACAATTACAGTTGAAAATATAACATTATTTACAGATTTAAAAATGTATACGAATTGGATACGTATTAACCTTCCTTCAAAATATGACATGTTTCAAAAATATTGTATATTCTGTATGTTTCGGCATGCGAGGTAAATAAACTGTTTGCCGATTGATTTATACCACCCCATTTATTGCCAGTTATTAATTACATATTATATTTTCTTGAATCTACTTGAGGAAATCTTGAAATGTCTGGCCAAACTTTGGGAGCGTGTTACACTAACTCCAAGGATGAAAAAAGGTCACAGGTCCGGAAATGCTTCCCGTTCGAGTTACAGCCCTTCAAATTAGCAAATCTGACCTGGCCTCCTTGAGCAAAGATACAAGTCTCACAGCGACGCCTCATGGACTGCCGAACACGTAAACACAATTCGTGTTGCGTAAACACATCCCCATTAGACGACAGCAGACAGCAATAACAGTAGCAGTACTAGTGTTTACTTGGAAGCAAGATCATGAATCGTCATTATTCAAACGCTGAGATGGCAGATATAAAGTCACTTTGAATACTTCCTCTGATGTGCAGATGGGAATAAATTGCAGATGTGATAAAATAATAATCAAAACGTCACTCCTCTGACGTGCAGATTTAAAAGGCTTTTGTACACTCTCCAAAAGTTTCGTAAGACATTTCAGGACCAAGCTGTATACGCAGTGGCAAAACTACTAGATATGACCGATTTTTTTATAATCTTTCCAATATACGCATGGTTTCAGGAATACTATTCGTATCCACCTTACATCCGGAGTCGATACATGGACCAGAATTCATTTTGAAATGCTCATAGTGTCTCAGCTAGTCAACAGAATTTTCGTATTTTACGAAACTCGATGTTCGTTGCCGTGCTCACAAAACCCGCCAAAGAATCCTGTAGTGAACCCGACTGCTCCAATTCACAACCTCCAAACCCATCTAACCTACCATTTGAATATTATTCTTCCGCCTACACCAATGTCTTCCTAGTGGTCCCGTTTGTTCAGGCTTTGCGACCAAAATTTTGTACTGATTTCTTGTCTCCCCCATACGCGCCACAAGCCCTACCAGCCTCATGCTGCTTAATTTGCCCCACTCTATAATATTACCTATAGAGCTCCTCATCATACTGTTTTCTCCAGAGTCCTGTTACCGTTCTCAGGTCACCCTCAATCTGTTTTCGTAAAGAAAACTGAGAGGCAAAGTTACACACTCACGCAAAACAAGAAAAAATTATAATATTGTATTTTTCAATCTTTACGTTTCTATTGTGAAGTGCATGGTAGCAAGCATTACGATAATTTTC